TATAATTATTTTAAAGGGAAGGCAAAGGGCATAGGAAAATTTTATCCATAATATTATAACGCGAGTATTTATAATAAATAAAAATAGAATCACTTAATATTGTTTAGTTTGGTAAATAGTTCTGAAACAGGATCGACTTTTGTAATTGGTAAATGCATAATAGTCGCGGACATTGCAGATCAAGTGTCATTCAATATAAACGTTACACGAATAAAATTATTATCGTCCACTTCAAAAAAAAAACTACATTTTTCATGTAGCAAGCGATTTTCAACCATAATAAAATTTTTAGAGCCAGACTGGGACTTTTAACAACAGTTAAAAGAAAAGCCTAGCTTAAATATTGGTTATTCTATGCCATGTCGGAAGTGTTTCTTTTCTTCACACTTATTTTAAGATTATCGCTCATTCATAGACGGATCGTCAATTAACAACCTTAACAACATATTTAGTTTAATTATAAATCAACAATTTACAACTAAAAATAATCACAAGAATAATATAATAATAAAAATCAACAATCAATCTTATGACCTTGTCCCCCAAGATAAGAAAAATTAAATCAACAAATAATTAAAAGAAGAATTCACGCCAATAAGAAAAAAAAAAGAATTAAAGAAAAGATCTATATCAGAAAGGAGAAATTAAGATTATGTCACGAAGAAATGTATAAATACTGGAAGAAAACCGGAAGAAGAGAAAAGATAAGGAGAATATTGACAATAATCTGGAAGATAATCAGTTCAATAATTCACATGATCCTAATATATTACATTTTAGTAAATAATGAATTTATAACAAAAGAAATAATAGATACAATAATTAGATTGAATATAGTAGGAGGAATAGAAGCAATTTCAGAATTTGTCGGAAGAATTTGTTTGGGAATATATAGTAATAGTAGAAGAAGTAGTGTTCCATGTTGCAATCCAAAAAAGGAAACCAAAGTGGTCGCAAAGGTGGTTGCAACCAGGTGCCGCAAACCATTTTTATATGTCGCAAATATGGTTGCAACCATCACCAAGAATTGCGACCAGCATCTATAAGAAGAAGTAATAATACATAAATTAACAGGAAGAGAAATTGAAAATTAATAATCAAGAAAAAAATATTTATTTATATAAAGGAAGAAAGTTTACAAGGAAGGAACCTCACTTAGTTAAGAGTTTTAACTATATGAAAATAAATAATCAAATAATTGAAAAGAAATTTATCAAGTTGAATACAAAGAAAATTAAAACAAAGAACCAAAAATTATCAAAAGAAAATAAAGAATAAAAACATTCAACAGAATTATTGAAGAAGCCAATAAAGCAAACGGAAGAACTGCCACAAGAAAATAAGAAATTAACAGGAGAGGATAATTTATCGAAAGTATATGAATCAAGAAACTTATAAAAATTTCCCATTAGAATTGAAAGTAATCATAAGAAATTATATAGAAGAAATAGCCAGGAGACAAATAGACCCGAGAACAAAAATTTAGCAGACAAAATAATCAAAGAAAAAAATAATAAGATCAGCAGTAAGGGTATAACGAAAGAGAAGATTGGAAAGAGATTGTAACAGTTCTTTTTCGTCTTAATTGCGAATATGTAATGTGGCACAGTAATACGAAACGTTACAACTTATTATTATATTAGTCACAGGCATGTCACACCAATTGATTTTCTATATGTGAAAATAAACTCGAAATTCGTGTCACATGAAGTTTTTTTAAAATATCTCGTTATTTCAGTCAGGGATATTTCCATAGATGGAAATACTAAATACCGTAATGATCGACTGACTGTATGAAAAATTCTAGAAGAAATTCTGATTGGCTAAATTCAACCAGGGATAATACCCTGTAATGATCGACGTAATGAAAAGAAATTCTAATTGGCTAAATTCTGTCGTTGAATAAAAAATAATGATCTTTATTATATTTAGGAAAAGAAAAACATGGCGGGAGCTTTATTAATTGGTCATATAATTTCCAAATTATATAATATGTGCATTTTTAACTTTTCTACAAGCTTACCCAAGATCAAGCAATGTCAAAGATGCTATTTAACTAATATATAACATATTATTATATTAATAATGATTTTTATTCGTTATTAAGCTGCCATTCATCCGAACAAAATACTTCATTTAATCTTTAAAAATAGAATTTGAAATAATACCATATAAATTTCCTTGCCAATTCTGTTAAATAATAAATAAAGGATACATACAAAATCCATATAGTAAAAATAAATAATGATTAATTATATTGAAATCAATAGCCACCATTGTAAATAATACAAAATAATTTATTTGGAGTTTTATGCTTACATTTCCATACCGAACTACTTTAGTGCTCCATGCTGAAATCCAACAAAGTTGTTGCAAAGGCAGTTACGACTAGGTGTTGCAATCATTTGTATATGATGTAAAGGTGGTTACAACCATCATCAAAGTTGCAGTCGGTATCCTTAAAATAAATAAATAATAAAGCCTAAATAAAAGTATATTATTATTAACAAATTAATTTACATGAATAAATATAGTAATGGTGATTCTGAATATACTTAATAATAAGATTTGCATCAACCTGACGTCAGCTGGCTTTCTGGATATTTGTTTGCAATATCTTCATGCAAACAATACAAACATGGGTCTGATTCATTTCGTCGACACCCATTTCATCGAAAGTTTGTTTCATCGAAAGTTCATTTCGTCGAATGTTCATTTCGTCGAATGTTCATTTCGTCGAATGTTCATTTCGTCGAAAATTATTTCGTTACAAAAAAAAACTCCATTAAACAAATTTCTCCTCACACTTCCCACGCACTCACCTAATTTCTTAACTAACTTCCCACACTCCTCACATCTAACTCGTTCGGTCTCTGGTTCGAGGATGAAATAATTTTCGACGAAATGAACTTTCGATGGAACAAACTTTTGACGAAGTAAACGCGACCGCTCTTTTTCTGGACTAGGTACATTTTGAACTTTATTGATCGACATTATCAGTTTAAAAGTAAAAATTAGACCCGTGTAACGAATGGTCTTTTTAAACAGTTCATTATAATAAAGACAAGTTTCGTCATTAAGCTTCTAATGATTATTTTTTTATATCACAAGGAACTCTTTATGTAAAACTATGGCTATTCAAAAACGGTATCACATTTATACTTCAAAGAAAGATTTTCTTTTCAATTTTGCTATAAATGTCTTGAAAATTGGTGAGAAGATGTAAAATAATTTAAGCGGATAATGCTTTATGTGGGTATGTATTACTGAAGTTTAGAGAATATAATAAAATGAAAAAATATCTTTAGATATAAATCGATTTATGTTTATTAGATTAGTTTTATTTGATTTTTGGTTTTTGGTTTTTATTAGATTACACATTTTTTTTTTTTGTTACTTCGTTGAGAGTGTTCTTCCAGGAACAGATGTAGTCTGAAGTTCAGTTCGCATGCTCATTGTCCTAAGAGACCTAGGGAATTGTTTATTGGTGGAAAATAATATTAAATTTAATTTATCGAAAAAACCACCACACCATTACACAACTATGCTGAATTTCATGAACTGGATTTGTAATTGGACAATACTTTGGGCGGCAAGTATAATGGACTTAATATTGTCGCTACTTCAAAAACAATTTGAAGGCTCCGAAAATGTTAATCCCATGATCAAGTGGCTAAGATACTGAGTGTATATGGAATCAAATTAAAATTAATGACGAAATTGAAGCAAATATTTAAGTCCAAGCAAGAAAAAAGGGAACTATTTATTTTCTCGCTTTCCTCCTTTTAGAAAATCAGCATTGTTAAATGTAATTTCATTTTATAGATGGCCGCAAATCTAATCTATTTCATGGTTTCATTATTGTTACTATTGGTAATAATAGTATCTTCTTCTTCGTCTATACCATCCTCATCCATGTTTTATTCTTTCTTTTCCATTGACACATTCATAGATTGCTTATATCATTTTCCTTTTAGGATTCGTTTTTCGTTTATGGAAATTTTTAATGGCAGAGGCGGCAACTCTTTTCCCTTCAAGTAATTTATGAATAAAAAACTCGGCCCTTTCATCAAATAAGTGTTTACAATATTTCCATAGATGACAATTTTTTGTAAGCATTTTTTTTTTTTTTACACTAACTAGCTTGCTTGAATTGCGTTTCTTTGTAGGCTCTATTTTTTCATCAATTTTTTTGTTCATATTGTAGATCTAGTTTTTATAGGTTTGATAATATAGCAAAAGACTGAATGATAGTCCAATTAACAAGTCTACAAGAAAAATTTGTTTGTAAACGTAAACATTTTATTAAGTATTTGTAGTTTTATTTTAGTTACGTGTATCACGTGTAAATCTCTAAAAAGTAATGGATTTTTTTATTTCATTCTTTTCATTCTTTTCAACTTTCTCTAGTGTCAAATATAAATAGAAATAAATCACACGAAATTCCTCCAAACTAGTAGCTTTGGTAATAATTTGGGCTTCTCATAAAAAATAATTTTGCCAATTAATAAAAATAGTTGGGCCCATAAAAAATTAATTTTCGAACAAACTGTTTCGGCAATTTTGGCTAAGAAAGGTAGTTTCAACCGAAAACCTTATAACAAACTTGAATTACTTGTTTCGGCCAACTCGCTTAACAAGAGCTGATGCCATGATACTTCCTGGTTATATAATTTTTTGTTTGGAGATACATAAAAAGAAAAATAGAGACAGTTTTACTGTAAGTTTCTTTTTTAAAGGTTTTTTAACGAAAATAATTTACATGTATGATTGATAGTATGAAGCTAATGCTGTCCCGCGAGATGTCTTTATCGTTCATTGTCAGCTAACTGATGATCAACTAAAGGAAAACCTTCATTGCAAGATTATTGGGAAGAATAGCAAATAATAATAAATATTATCTATTTTTATGAGTATAAATTACAACCGGCAGCAATTTGCATGTCAGTATTTTAAATATTCTATTATTAAATAAAGAATTTTTTCTCTGTTCGTAAGCTTCACTATATTGTAATATTACACTTACACTGAATATTAATTTTTCCGTAATTTTTGCATAATATTATGGTGTTCAACATAAACTTACATAAGTAGTGTAATAATTAGATAGATTCGCATCAGAAAACTATGCAACAATAATTTATTATTGCGCAAATTGCTATTTTGTCATCAGGAAATTTATTAAGCTCACAAGTTTTACTATATGATGTTGTAACAAAATAAATACTGAATGCAATAATTTTTTGTATAATATTTATTAGAGAGCCCGATGTAAACTTACGCAAGCAGTGCAATAATTATGCAAATTCATGTTAAAAAAAGTTCACAATAGGCTATTTTATTAAATTGCATTTGGACATTCGTCCAGAATCCAAATTATAGTTGCAGTCCCAAATTCGAAAATTAACTCAAAAAATAAAAACAATCATCTTCACATATCATCATTTGACAGATTATCCTTATTTATCCTCTATCTTTTCAATTACTATCCCAATTCCTAGATTTTATGGAACCCATGAACATTTGATGCAGTACCGATGTCACATTCACCACTTATACACAACATCATGCGTGATAAAATTCGTCAATTGATGGATGGGTCAAGACCTGAATTCCCTTGTACCTGTTCAAACATTTATGCCAACAATATTAGATAAACAATTAAAGCTGTTGAAAATGACTTTCCTGGAGGTATGAAATTATTTGCATATTTTATGATACCAGGATATTTATCAACTAGTTCATTAGCTCCCATTTAACAAAAGGATCATCAAATGCAGAAAAAAAATTTTGATTTACAAGAAAGTATTAAAAGTTTAATAGCACACAATAACAAAGAATCGCTTAACAAAATAATAATAAAAGTCATTCAAATATCAATATTAATTGAAGAGACATACTTGAGCCATACTGGGCATTTTTGCTCATGACTATAATAAAGTTAATTCAAGAAATAATAATTTGAAAGAAAATACAAAATAAACAAATTTCTAATGCTCAACAGAGTAATCAATTAAACAAAAATTATAAATAGCCTACCTCTTAATATTTAAACTATAGGACGATTTTTAAAAAAATCATTTACAATAGTCCAAGTATGAGAATAGAAAATGGCAAAGAATAGATAATTGAATTTAGAATTAATATTATTCATTGCCTTCAAGAAACCTGAGATAAAAATGCCAGGAGAAGTTGAAACTGATTTCTAAAGTGCAAGAGCTCAAAGAGGAATTTTTGTAATTGTAACAATAATTCTAACAAAGTTTACTGCACCTAAAAATACAACGAGGCCTTTTTAATATTAATATTACAATTATTTTGTTTTACCAACCCACTAAAGTTTCATCCATCCACGTGATTGTCTTTGTTAATTTTCAGTGCAAGTGTTACATGTTCCACATTCCCCAGTAAAATATACGCGTGACTTTATTGATTAGTATTAGTATTAAAAAAATTTTTTTTTATTACTAAAAAGCAATTATTATGTTTTCCTTTTACAGTGGCAATTAAAATTATTAATCCTTTCTTTCTTATTTTAGCGAAGCCAAAAAAAACAATACCAATTTAAAAATGAACTATTCCCAATTTATATTAGTCTTTTTTCATTCATTTAGATCAAAAATAAAAGAAAAAAGTATTGGTTCGAATTATTTGTAAAACAAATTATTTTAGAGAAGTCAAAGATCAATATCAAACAATCTACATTTTCAAATGACTTGATTAAAAAAAATTTTTTAACAATAAGGAAAATAAAAAATCAATTCGCTCATAGGATAGAAACCCTGAAATATTGAAAAAGACAAGGGACAGACAGGTCACGAAAAAAAGATGTTGAGATGTCTTGGAACAAATAAAAGACAATTTTTCATTATCATTAAACAAAGTAAATTGGCAGCAAATATCTAAGCTGTGTAAGGCGAGTGCTTAAAATCCTTTCTTTAATTTCTTAGCTGGCTATCATCCATCATCAATAAAAATTAGAAGAGTACTTTACCATATATTTAATCTCTGAAATATTTTTAAAAAAATACCCTTGAATAAATAATAAGCACGCAATTTTGCAATTGAAAAAAGTGTAAAACGAAATTGAAACTTCTTGCAAGGATTACCGATTCAAGAAAAATACGTTACACAAAAATGTTATTTTCATAAATGAAAAATTCATTAAAAAAAATTAGGGTAATTATGATTATAAATATAATATACGTTATACTTCTTTTTTAGAATCTATAAACAATATTGACTTGTGCTACACTGTCAATGTGTATTTAGAACTTCTCTGGCTGTGTATAGTTTATAAACCAATTTAGTCATGGAAAGCAGAGGTTCAAAGAACAATTTTTTCGAAAGATTATTTGCATTACTAGTCCAGGAAGGCGAGTAAATGAAAAATAATTCTTTTATAATTATTCCAAATTTTAAAATTATTACCTCGAATTTTGTTGAAATAAAATTATCATCGTCTCGTGACGATCACATAATGCTATACTATTACTATTACTATTAGTATATAAAAATATTTACAATACTAGATTTGATGATTGTACAAAATAAGTCATATCATTTTAATAAAAGAAGAAAAGAATGAAAAAGAATCGAAAATTTATTTGTAACTTACATCTATACTAGTCGTTCCTATGAAAATGGTAAATCTGATAATTTTCAAAGCATTTATTCTTCTAAAAAGTACGAGTAAAAAATATCACAAAGAATATGCTTTACCTTGAGAATAAAAGTCATTTCTTGTGCATGGTTACCACATATTTGAGTTAATTTTCTTTTATCATTCAAGAGTTTTCATCACAATCAATCCTAAAACGTAAAAATAATTTAGATTATGTGGGACGTTGATCGTTTTATCATCATTAATTCGTGAAACATATGGAACAAGGGATTTACATATTGCATCAAATTTTATATTCAGATGATGATGATTGTTAAAAAAACGCCAAAAAATATTTTTATGAAAAAAAGAAAAGTTGCCATTCGAAGATTTTTATGTCGATCGATTTTCCACTATGTTTTCTATTCATTTCTGACCTCTGACAATGCTCTTTCTTTTTTAAATATACATCATAGTGGTTAATCCACCCACGAATAGTTTGGAGTTTTGGAACCTCGTTTTTATCAACTTGACCTTCTGTCATAACATCCAACTCTTCCAACATAGTTTCAACTGTATATATTCTAGTTTTGTCAGCTTCTCCAACTAAAAAGAAGCTTTTCTAATAAACTTGTAATATATTAATACATTTTAAATCTGTAACACAAATTGAAAAACAACGTTATTGTTTGACTAACTTTTATTCCTATTATATAGCTGGGATTTTTGTGTTGGTATAGACCACCAATTTGTCCGTAATGAATTTCTGATACAATAATGTCACGAGATAATAAATTATAAGAATGTTTTTTTTGTGTTTATTAATGATTAGAAAATTGCGAGGAAGTCGCCATTTACTAGCTCTGCGAATTAATATTTCTGTTATAATAATACTCTCTCATCTATACCCAAGTATTAATGATACTCACTCCTTTTACTTTATAATGAGGCTCGATATTTGATACTTAATAGATATTATGAAAATAAGTCTTCGTTTCTCTTTGTGAAGATTCATAAAAGTTATGTTTTATTGATTTGAACAAATTTATAATAATTTATAAACAATAAATTAACATTTGAAATAAAATGGCCTTTTTCATTTCTTACAAACTTTATTAAAGTAAAATTGAAAATTTTTTAATATCTTCAATTTTCGTTATTATTGTTGTTAGTATATTAGTATTAGGGCTGAGTGTGTAACCCATACTGAAATAGAAATCATAATGCAACTATTTGACACAGTACTTTTACTTTCTTATTGGACATTTTATTTATTATTATTATTATCATAAAAATGAAATCGAAATCGAAGAATTTACTTTTTTAAAATAAAAAATAATGACAAGCAAATTCATTTCTACCAACATAATTTAATTGTTACTATTATTATTACTACTAGTAGTATTATTATTGAGATCGTTAATTATAAAATAATCATTTAATAATGGATTCGACGTGTTATCAGTAGTTTTGGCTTGTAGAAATTGTACGTAACGTGCCTCAACTTATAAATAAAAAAAATCAAATAAATTAATTTTTAAAAAAAAATTTAGTAAATATTAAATGTACAAACAAATATTGAAGATTTTGTTACTTTGTGGACGTCTGTATAATCTATTTAGTTTTTGTTGCTTCATAATTTTTTTCTTTAAGAGTTTGTCCCGACAACAATTATTTCTTACTTTGAGGCAGTTATCACAAGCTGCTTTGTCATCACATTTAATGTGTTTAGCACTACATCGGACACATGCATTCTTGGAATATTTATATTCAGATCCGGTCATTTGTTTGAAAATAAAAATTTTTTTTTTTTGATTTTTTAAAAAAAATTTGGAAAACATCAAAGGATTTTTTTTTTGAATTTAAATACTTTATTTTTTCCCTTGCTTTCTTTTTTTGATCATTTTTCTTTATTACAATCATTATAAAAGTTAGACGGAAATTAGATAAATATTTTTAAGTGAAAAAAAATCTTGATTATTCAATTTAATTTTGATTGGTGATAAATTTGCATCCTTTCTTTTGACAAATTTGGGAAAATATATTGGCATTAGCAATTTAATGTATACACGTGTGTTTTTTATAGAAAGGGACCAGGAAATTCTTATATTTCAAAATGTTGTTTTTGTCGTGCTTCTTTCGCCTCATGTGAAAGAAAAAGGACTGAACAGCATTCTGTCTATTATAACATTTGTAGTTCTCATGATACTGTCTTTTGCTTTTAATATGCGCTTCTATTTGAAGCAATCATGTTTAAAAGTTAGAATTTTATAAATCGTGTACATCATATATATTATATAAGTAAATAAACATTGTACTCGAATAATAATTAATCTGTGCGTGGAAAAATAAAAATGAAAATTCTATGAAAGTTCGTTCATTGGTCAATCCAACGATTGCATTCATTTTAATGTACGATTGCGTGCTTTCATATTTTGGGGTACCTAAATTACTTGTACGTCCTTGTGATTTAATGGGATAAATGAACGTATTTATTACAAACAAACAAACAATCAAAAAGGTAGATCAAGAAATCTGTTGGGAAACATTTCACTGAAATTGGTAGATAGCTTTGATAACAAACATCCTGATGTGAAATGTAATTATTGTGGTCAACCAACAATAGACTTGTGGAAAAGTTCAGATATAGTTTCACATGTTGCATTGTCCTGTACTAAATTTTTTACTACCTGATACTAATGCAAAGTTCCAACATATCTTACAAAATAATGAGATTAGCGAGGATGATGAGATAATCCACAAACAAAAAAAAAATAACTAAAAATTTCTGATCAATATCTTCATAACCTTTTGACTAATGGTATAATGAAATTAGAATTAATTAAAGAATGTAAAATGTTTAAAAGTTAGAATTTTATAAATCGTGTACATCATATATATTATATAAGTAAATAAACATTGTACTCGAATAATAATTAATCTGTGCGTGGAAAAATAAAAATGAAAATTCTATGAAAGTTCGTTCATTGGTCAATCCAACGATTGCATTCATTTTAATGTACGATTGCGTGCTTTCATATTTTGGGGTACCTAAATTACTTGTACGTCCTTGTGATTTAATGGGATAAATGAACGTATTTATTACAAACAAACAAACAATCAAAAAGGTAGATCAAGAAATCTGTTGGGAAACATTTCACTGAAATTGGTAGATAGCTTTGATAACAAACATCCTGATGTGAAATGTAATTATTGTGGTCAACCAACAATAGACTTGTGGAAAAGTTCAGATATAGTTTCACATGTTGCATTGTCCTGTACTAAATTTTTTACTACCTGATACTAATGCAAAGTTCCAACATATCTTACAAAATAATGAGATTAGCGAGGATGATGAGATAATCCACAAACAAAAAAAAAATAACTAAAAATTTCTGATCAATATCTTCATAACCTTTTGACTAATGGTATAATGAAATTAGAATTAATTAAAGAATGTAAAAAGTTGATAAATTTTTTACTAAATCATATATATGCTGCTGTGAAAATTTGAGAGTAGGAATGGCTAATAATAGGATATCATTTAACTCTACCAATTCTATAAATAGATGTCAATTGGCAATTAAAATTTAAAATATATATATTTTTTTTAATGCTTTCAATTTCAAGTAGAGATATTCTCTTAAATACTTTAGTTTCTGGAAAATAAATCTCATTTGTTTAGTAATAATATTACATTGATCCAGTTAAAAAAGCGGTTGTTATGCTTGAGCATATAAGTGTCACTTTCCACTAGAGATTGGACTTGAAAATTTTATTTTTGATCGGTTAATCACTTGTTCAAATTGACCATCAAACTCTAAATCCGTCATCATTAATTGATTTAAATACTGTTGGCTCTCAAAATCACGCTTATAGACCTAAATTTACAAAGAGGCAGTAAAAAAGTACTTTAAACAAGAAGGTAATGTTACTAATAAACGTACAAACTTAAAACCGAATGTTGTAAAAAATCTTGATTTTCTTAAATCAAAATATGGAATAGAGAATAGCTTTGATTCTATTTCATTTTAATAAACAAGTTTATAATCGAGTAAAAAACTTTGGCCGAGCCCAATCCCTAGTTTCGAATAGCATTTAATAAACATTAATTTGAGATGTACTTTCTTGGCCATTTTTTTCATTCACAATTTAGAGGTATGATATTATATAGCGTAAATTAACAATTAATACTGAAACCTAATTAAATAATATTCAATTTAGATAAAGAATTGCGTATCAATACTTTTTGAACAATACACCATAAAACAATTTGCATTTGGAGAGCTCTATGTAGTGGCGATACTTCTGCACAAATGTTAGATTATTCCTTAAAAATCCATATCCACACTTTAAATTATTACCTCTTATCTAAGTTGCGGGTATGTTGCAACATTTGATATTTGATTACGGAGGACAAGCTTACTAGTTAAAGATTAGTGGTATTTATATATAACATATTGGACAATTTCAAGCGGCACGCTTGCAGTACCAATTCCGTATTTTAAGACACAGAAAAGTTGCATTTTTCTGTACCTATTCTGTATCTTTATACATATGGTTTACTATTTGAATTCCATATAATGTACTATTATGTATTTAATGCCTTTTCCATATGTCATAGTACTGGGCTAACCAAAAACAACGACGAGAATAGAAGAGTTTTAGTACATTGTGATTGAGCAATTGTTATAATAATTAGCGATGAATAATTTAACAAGCAATTTTCAAAAATTTTGTCAATATTGACATTAATTTTATCGCCAATCCCTTCATTCGGATGTTGTTGATTGTCATAAAAGAGACTTTGAACGTCGTTGCAGCAGTAAGACTATCGACGAAATCTGTGTTATCATTGCTTTATATAATAGTAATGAATTTCGAGGTTAAGACCGAAGCTAAAAAGTTACCAATGTCCATTATTATTACGTACAATATACGTGCGTGTTCTATTGAGAAATAAAAATTTCAAACGTTTCTCCTAATAATGAAAATGTTAAAATAGTACACATGTATATTATTTGATGGATGAAATTTATTCGTGGTAATATTTTTAGAGTCGGATATGATATATGACGATCTCTGCAGGCTCACAATAGTAATAGTCTATTTTATTAAATTCGAGATTAATACAGAACTCAATTGACAGTTATCCATATTTGTTTCTTCAGTTACTATCTCCATTCTGAATTTTGAGGAATCAGTGAAAATTTGATGTCCCATCCACCATTTACGCATGTTACATATTAAACATGGTACTGAACTAGTAAATAGATAGATATGCATCCTGAGTATCTATGCTAGAATTAATGTTGTTTCTTGACGAAATGTCACCAAAGTTGTAAAACTATTGCGTCAAATTCGCTTCCATTAAATCAAAAATGAAAATTGCTTTAAAGGCTAATAAAATATAAAAGCTCACAAAAAAGCTTATAAAATTCGGTGCGGGGAATGCGGGGTGTAACATTACACACCAATCAACCTTTTAATTTTTGGAGATAGTTTCTAAATTTGTACTGGTTACACAACGAAATTTCAACACTGATTCCAGGGTCTTTTTTTTATATTTTTCTTGTGTATCCTAACCTCTCCTTTGTTTCATCAGTTGTTCCCAATGAGCTAAGTTTTCTTTTTGCTGAATACAAACTCAGTTCCCAATACATGATCGGGTAGATAAATCATCAATTAGGAATTGGTAGGTCAACTACGCAAAAGCTTTTTATAATTATTAATAATCCTATTTTTATCCTTATTGTAGTGATCAACAAAAAATTTCATTAAGAAACTTCGGGTCCTCGCAGAGGAAAATAATAAAAAACATTGTCTTTATTTTCTTTGTTTAAAGCACTTTGATAAAAGCAACAAGTATAGTTGGTGCCTTGGTAAAAGATAATTGTGAAGCTTTGGTAAAAAGACACGTTTATTTGCTTTAATGAGCAGTTAAGCAAAGTTAAGACTAACGTTGGTTAACTAGTGAGTGTTGACAACGATTAATAACGTAATTTGCTTTAGTGAGTAAACAAATGTTTGGACTCTCAGATTCGTCTAGATGCAGTAATCGAGAACCAATTAAAGTCATAAACTAATTAATTGACAAGAGTCGCCCAAAAGTTATGCTATAACTTTTAATTAACCGAAATGATACCTCGCAATATCACCACCATTTAACAAGAATCAAAAAACTGTAAAACATTATTATAATTTAGCTTTGAGAAACAAAGTAAGGATAAAATAGAACGATAAATGGTGGAAATTAAATTAGTAATTCATTAATTCCTAATGTTACTAGAATCTAATGTCTATTAACAATATCATTGGCATTAATAATGAAATTTTTACCCACCTTTGAATCAAGACTATTTAACGGACTATCATTACTTGTGTAAATTTTTAAGATTTTAGATTTAGCAATCTCTTTATCTAATATTCTACTTACATGATAGGCATCTGAGTTCTTGTTGCGAAGCTCTACCACTACCACTGTTACTAGTAGTATCACCAACATTATCATTTTAATGATTTCGTTATGTTTATTTCTAGCAAAATCACAAAACTCTCTATTAGTTGGTCTTTTTGATGGATCCCCAACACCTCTGCATCATTTGCGCATAATCATCAGGAATTTCAAGTAGTCTTGGTGGTTGTAAACCTTCACATATATCAAAATTAAATTATGATCATGAGCTCTATCATCAAATGGTGGATGTCCTGCAAATATTTCCCACATTAGCATCCCAGCACTATATATATCATATTCTTTTGTGTTCTTTTTGCCCTAAGTAGTTTGAGTGCAACATACAATACAATTCCATAAAATTTATTTAATGACTTTTCATCAACTGGTCTACATAATTCCAAATCTGTAATATAACAATTAATTCCTTGCAATAATATATTACCACTATGTAAATTACAATAAATTAAATCTTTTTCATGTATCTGATATAATGCATCACATAAATAATCAAAGATTTTAATTCTGTCTTTTAATGATAAGGCTTCATTTAAAGAATTACTTTTAAGCAATGCTCCTTTTTTCACTTTTTCCTCATAAATTATTTATTTTTTAGAATGCGTTTGAGAACTAACAGTATTTAAAGGTGATGATGATGTTTCTCTAGGTTTAAAATAGGACTACAAATATAACAATCATGATTGTTGTGATATTTTAATTTGGATCAATAGCATAATTTTTTGGTAAGTAAAATAAGTGAGTTGATCTGACAAATAAAAGGAAAACAGATTTATCTCTATTTCAGTAATTATTCAGCTAATTGATTTTCCTGCAAAAATAATCCAGGTACCTGCCCTATTAAAAAGCTGTGTTGACTTTATCAAGAAATTTTCCCTGCCGTAATATTACGTCCATAAATTTTAATATGTAAAGTTGTAATTAGGGTTGTGCAATTTCGCAGTACGAGAAGAATCTTCGTACGTACGTACGATTGAGTTTGTACAGTTTCGTTGTGGTCGTACACCTGTACGAGGAAATTTTACATATGTACGATGTATCAGGAATGATTTTCTGCGGTGACAAAATATTACTTTGTAAAATCCTATAATAATATTATTATTAAACCGATAATCCTATTACTATAATTAATGGATTACCAGATGTTGTAACTGAGGCCGTAATACTATTTCAAAAAACCGATTATCATGTTATATATGTTTATTTAAATCCCTTGTTATTATGTAGTAGTATTATATACGTTGTTATTATAGTCAGTGTTGTGCAATTTCGCTGTACGAACGTACGATGGTTTTCTGTGGTGATAAAATATTATTTTATAATAATATTATGCCGTCAGTCCTATTACTATTACGATTACTATAATTAAATGTCGTAACAGACCGTAATGCTACTTCGTTATCAGAAAACCCCTGATTATCATATTATACTTACATTATCCTAGCATCAGGAAAATAAATCTCACGTAAACCTACGTAGGATTTAAAACTGACCAGCATTATGCGGAAATGTTAACAGAATTACCAAAATATCGACATAATGTTGGCCGATTCTGAACCCTATGTAGGTTTACGTAAGATTTATTTTCCTGATGAGGTCATTATTGTTATTATTGTTGTATTAGTAGTATTATTATTACCGTGATTCCTAAATTTTTTTTCTATTTATTTATAATGAAATAAAAATTATCTCTACATTCTTGTTAATATATTATCAATTCAAAATAATTAATAGTAGTATTAAATATCTTCAATCACATGGAGTATATAGTTAATTCCATAATAATAATATAGCCAAACCTTTCCACAGCGGATGAACGGTACACAAACAAATTTTACTTAAAATTCGTTGTGGCAAGTTTACTAAAAATACTAATACTAATCTTGCCACAACGGATTTTTATATGTTTTTACATGTGATATTCGAAGCAAAATTTTTTAAAAATCCGTTATGACAAGAGTTTGATTATTATTATAGTTCGCTGTGACAAGAGTTGACGAATTTAACTGATATATATTACATTTGATCAACCAATAAAAATTATCATAAATCACATGATATGTTCGTACAAGTACAGTGCCGGTCACAAGTACACATCCAATTGTTTCAATTTAAAATTTTGATGATCGTTCCAAAATAAGCAATAAACAAAATTTATTTTTTTTATATTAATATATACATCAGGAAAAAATTTTAACTCTCAAAT